ACTGGTGAACCAGGTTCGCTTTTGGTACGTCAAGTGCGCAAATCGACACCTATGCGCACAGAAAACGAAGTCGGACGAACTTTCGGGGCGCACCTTGGCGTACTCATGGCGTACTTCATTGCACATCGCGGTTTGTACGTCCCGGGTTCGTCAGAGCGTACCTCAAGCATACAAATAGTGAACAATTTTTTCGGCTCGGGTGACAGTGAGGATAGTGCATTTGCTGGTTGAGTACTGTACTGCACTTGCGAGGTACAGGTGCGCGAAAATAATTCCAAGGAATGTAAGGAGTTCCAAGGAACATTCAAACGTAAACTTGTATACAGGTACACCCACAAGAGTGTGCGGGACATTAACACACTTCCGACCGGGGGCGCACCGGCAAAAGTGTCCTCCATTCGGCGACCGAGAAGATTAGGCCCTGCTGGCAAACACAGAGGGGCTCCCCCTTTGTATGTGTGCTCACGACTGTGCGACTCTGTGTGTGTGTGTGTGTGTGTGTGTGTGTGTGTATGTGTGTGTGTGTGTGTGGCCCAGATCTACTTGCAGGGTTTGCAGTCCGCACTCAACTGATGCGGGAGAGCCACCGCCGCCGCTGCTGCTGCTGCTGCTGCTGAGTGCGAGTCATCGGCCTTCCCTCCCCCCTCTCCCCGCCCCAGTCTCCCCTGGACGCAGAGGCTTTGCTTGAGCCCCACTCACCCCCCTGCCCCTCTCCCAAAGCAGCAGTAGCACTAGTATGGGTAGAGCGCGCGCGGGGGAGTGGCGGCAGAAGAGCTTTCCCGCGAGGGTTGTGGCCGCGTGTATAAGGGTGCCATACCCTCTCGCTACCCGCTTCTGCCATGCACTCTCCCGCGGGGACCGTAAAACCACATGTCCCGCAGCCCCGCGAGCCCGCGCGCTGCCGCCCACGGCGTCGGAGAGGATGGTGTGTGTGCGTGACGTCCTCAAAGAAGGCGGCCGGGGCAAAGCAGGCCGCGGGTGGAAGTGCTGTTGGTGATGCTGGTGCCGATACAGTTGCACCATGTGGCACCGCACGACGACGGTCGAAAAGCAAAAACGATCTCTTACTTCTTAAAAGTTGCATCTTGTAAATGAGCACCCGAGATTTGTGACATTCTACAAGCCCGACGATATTGTTTCGGCGATTATTCGCTTTCCTCGTAAAACCCAGGTAAAACCTGGTTAGTATGGCAAAACACCGATGCCATTCCTAAAGACGTTTAGAAACAGCATTTGCAAACAATAAACGAACAGAGCATTGATTCAAAACTCTTCGTTGCAGCCAGCGGAAATGAAAGAGTCTTAGAAAGTACGCCGAGTCGCCGATTAGCCGTCGGGCATGCTGGCATTGCGCCCGCGCAAGACATCGGCTCTCTCGCGGGACACCGCGTCGTTACGATTTAGAGAGGTTCCCGCCCGTCCCGATGCGCGCGACTCGCGGACTGGACGGCTGCACTTTCGCCGCGCGCGGAGAGAGAGAGAGACGCGCGCGGGAGCTGCTGCTGCTGCTGGCGCTGGCGGCCAGGCCAGATGGGCCACTTACGACGAGTGACAACGAACACGAACACGAAAAGGCGACAGAAATGACGTTCAAAACAAGCCGCCTAGTTAGTAAGGGCGGCGCCAACATCACGCGTCAAAGCGGACCGCCACGCAGCCGGGCCGAGCGCGAGCAGTTCGTGACGCCCGTCATCGCGGCCTCGACTTTTTCCACGCGACCCAGCGTAGGGAGGCCCTCCACCAACACCGGCCTCCACGGCCTCGCCCGAGGTGTCTTCCATTCGCATGGCGGCGCGGGGGGCTCCAAAACAACGGCCTTCGAGGCCTCACCCCGGAGGTGTCTTCCCTTCTTTTTGGTGGCGGCAGGCCACAACATCGGCCTCCACGGCCTCGTCCCGTATGTGTCTTCCCTTCCCGTGGCGGCGGGAGGCCACATCGGGCTCCACGACCTCACCCCGAAGGTGTCTTCTCTTCCTTCCTGTGGAGGCGGGAGGCCGCAACATCGGGCTCCACGGTCTCGACCCAGAGGTGTCTCTCCATGGTCTTCCCTTCCCGTGTCGGCGCGGGGGGGAGGCCCTCCACAACAATCACGGCCTCGGCCTCGGCCCGGAGAGCCCGGAGGTGTCTTCCCTTCCCGTGGCGGCGCGGGCGGCCGGCCCTTCACACGGCGGTATGAGTCATGGGGCCGTGCCGGACCGTGCAGGGGCCAGAGGCCGCGCGCTCATTTACCGGGGCGGGGCGAGGCGGGGCGAGGCGGGGCGGTCAGTGGCGTGCAGTCAAGTATATACACTGGGAAATTGCCGGTCGCGCGGCGGGCGCGGGGTCTTGGGTTGTGACCGGGATAGCGAGGCGGGAGGTACTGTATCGGGTACAGTACGCGGATCGGAAGACTCCGTTTGTGTGAGTAATTGCTCTGCATATTATTGCATTTCATTTCCTTAGCACAGATTCTCAGGTGTACGTGTAGTATTCTTGATGTTGTTGTTGTTGTTACTGAGCAAACAAGAAGCCGCGATGATGTGAAAATGAATGAAAAGAGAGGAA